ATAATCTCCAGAGTTTACTTCCCAGAAATATTATCTCTTTGTTTAATCACCCATCCATTGTACTGGCCAGAACTATGCTAGATGCTGGGAAAGCAAAGTTGAATGAGATATGGTACCTTCTCCCTGCTCTCCATGATGTCACAACTTCCATGGAGAAATTGTGGGATCTAAATATATACAAAGTGATTATGTGACAAAATGCAAAGGGTCCTTCCTCTCCCACCACACTAAGAAGCATACACATTCTCATGATCCTGATCATGGGAAATCTCTGAATGCCAGCTACTCAGGAAGACTGCCTTCACTCTGTGCTACTGTAGTGGCTTAATAGAGGGATTATAGAAGTAATTACCTGTGCTTGAGGAAGTATAGCTGCACAAAAGGATGTGGGCAGGCATGTCATCATGTACATTTCCTGTCACCAGGGGAGGTCCTCCCCAAAGAAGAACTTCCTCAGCTCCTTTTCTAGAGCCACTGGTTGAGTGAGGGACAGTTGGGAAGGGAAGGAATTATCGTCCTGACAGGAACAGTCTTGAGCTGTTGCCTGAACATGAGAAGTTGAGTAGCTGGGCTCTGAGGAAGCACTTTATTAGCTTCCCACAGCCTTTCTTCCTCTCCCCCCCGCTTCCTACCCACTCCTTTATTACCCAGGTTATTTCTCTTACTCCTTCATTGCTGTTTTGATTTCTCTCATTTTATCTTTGGTTCTTTTTGCTGTCCCTGGTCCTTAAAATTTTTGTGAAGGAAGTTGGTTTTTTTCTCTTTATTTTTTAAAATGTGTTGATATTCAGTGGTCTTCCTCGTAGTGTTACAAGCTGAACAGGAAAAAAGAAGTCAAGGGAAAAAAAGTGAATCAACTTTTTCAAACTTTCTAAAACTTCTTTTTTTAGAGGAGGGAAAAGGTTCAGGTCAGTTCTTATTTTCATCTGAAATGGCTTTCCCATCCAAATAGTCAGCATAAGGAATGTGAAAAGATTTAGGGGAATATAGCCATAGTCATGAATAATTCAAATGTACATTAGGAATGCAGAACTTTTGGAGCAACCAGTACATTTTAAGGAGAATATTGGAAAGACACTAGGGAAAAGAAACAAATGTTACCTTTTCTTATCATTTTTATAAAAGAACACTCCAAAACAAAAAACTACCACTGAACATATTGTCCCAATTATAAATCACAAAGACCTTGTTTATAAAACAGAAGTCAAACTGAAGCACAGTTGTAAGTAGAATTTCTTGCTATTTTTATGCATCTTAATTACACTGTTTATAAACAACTACAAAAAAAAAATTACCAACGTCCAAGAATTTAGAAAATTATTCAGATCCAGATAGTTCATCTGTGCAATGTACGTATTTGTTTTAGGCAATTTCTTTCAGCTGTATCCAGTTTTTAAAAAACATAATTATCTACATTTTGAGTACTGGGGTTATAGCTCAATGGTCAAATGCTTGCCTAGCATGCATGAAGCCCTAGGTTCAAGTCCCGTTTTCTGAATGAAAGGCAAGGTAATATACCTGTTTTCCATTTTGCTACTGTTCATTAACCTAGGGAACACATTTTTTTTGAAAAGTTGATTACTAAACAATGAGAACGTTCAGTAATATTTTCTTCCAAAAATTAGTGTGATTATATTGTGCAGGAATTACCAGCACCACAAAGCTTTTATCATGGCATGGACATGTTTGGTTCAGTTGAAAATGTGGCTTAATGCTTTCCTTTTATACCTGGTGCCACCTGTAATGACATCAGTCACAGTATGTTCCTGGCACATGCTAGATAGTCATTAAATGTTTATCTTTTCTTTTTCCCCTTGAATCTGTCTTCTATGTACTACTTTGAATCAAAATGCCATCCATAATTGAATCCGGAAAACTTGTTTTTCTTTTCTTTTTTTAACATTTTATTATTTTTTTATGTGTATGCGTGTATTGCCTGCATGTAGGTAAGTCCACCCACATCCTGCAATGCCCATGGAGGTCAGAAGAGGCTGTTGGATCCCCTGGGACTGGAGTTATGGACAGTTGTTAGCTGCCATGTGGGTGCTGGGATTCAAACTCAGCTCTTCTGCAAGAACAATCAGTGTTCTTAACCTCTGAGCCATCTCTCCAGCCCTTGTTTTTCTTTTCATTGCTGACAAATAAACAGACTTTTTCTCAGTCTCCATAAGATCACCAGACTGTTCTCTCTTGGGGATCTGTCAACTTTTAAAGAAAAAAGCCTCCATAATTTCAGTAGTTAACTCTAATGCTTTATTCAAGCAATTTCTTTTCTACAATATTAAAATAAAAATGACTATTTTAAAATATCAGCTAGTTCATTATTACCGAATAAAAGTTCATCCAGTAGGAAAGCTTGTATATTCATTGGTACATGGTTAGGTGGGTTCATCTCTTAATATCCTGAAAAGTATGTGAAAATTTGCAAGTCCTTGGAGAACTCCTGAATTTTCTGCATAATACATTGTTTTTACTAACTGAAATTAATGTGGATGCAGTTATAGAGCTCCTGCTTTTTCTTCTCTAGTGAAATTCTGAAAAAGTCATCCAACCTGAAGAGGGACAGCAATTTATCACTCCAGAGCACCCAAGTTCCAGAAAAAAGTCACACATCACTGGGTAAGCCTTTTCTCTCCTGTAGAGTTTATAATATACCTTTGGAGCAGTCAGCACAGGTCTAATCTTTAAAAGGCTTATACTTCAGATTTTCAAAAAAAGATGGAATACTTAGACAATCCCTAAGAGACCCAAGTATTCCCTATAGTTGCCTGAGTATAATTATGCAAATTTCTTCAGAATAATTATAAATTAAGTTCTCACTGAAGTGCTCTATAGGAGCAAATGACTAGATGTTGAGAGTTGTACCATGTCCCAGAATTGACTCTGGACTTGGTCTGCAATTAAATGAGATTGGGGTGAACAGAAAGCACATTAATAAAAATAGTTTGTATTTCAAAATTTTGTACAAATTGCATTTTACAGGCAAAGACTATGAAGCCCAACAAGCCCAAGCATAGGGCCTGTAGTTGTGCAGAGGGGTTGGTATTGGATGGATGTGAGCCAGTGCTCTCTGAGCTGTATGATTCTTCCTTCCCCATAATGCCTGGTTCCAGGCCTCAGCTTGATTCTGTACATGCTCCACATCAGGCCAGCAACCCTCAAATTTGTTTGCACCTAAACCTTCTTGAGTTATTTCTTTAAAAAAAACAAAAACAAAAACAAACAAACAAGTTCCTAAGTTTCACATCCAAGCGATACTGCTGCCTTGAAGGAACACTGATTAGAATTCCAAACCCTCAAATCAAAGGACTGCTTTACGCTCATTTGACAAATGTGTATTAGGTTCCTGCTATCATGCACCCAGTGCCTTAGGGACTGGGGATATATTAGTTTTTTCTTGCATGTTGGATGGAATTTGATTGATCATCTGAGGGAAAGAAGGGGCATATCTGAATATTTAAGACTGTGTTAAAAAGTGGCATTTGAATGCAAGTCGCTAAACCAAATGGCAAAGTTATGGCTTAATGTTTAGGAACATGAAGGATAATACTTTTGAAGAGTTAATGTTCTGCAATGAATGATCTGTGGATGTTTGGCCGAGTAGGTTAAAGCACAGTAGAAATAAACTCATGGTCTCATGGTCCAGTAAGCTTTGCTTTGCTCGGAACCTGCAGATTATGTTCCTCTTGCTGGCCAGTTATCTTATAAATGGATTGTAGATTGTATGGGTCTAGAGGAATTAGATGGTAAAATTTTCAGTCCCATAGACTCTAAAATAAAGCTTCGGCCCTACTGAAATGGGTTACTGGAATCTTTGAATACTAAGATTCTTTGTCATGATGATAACAAATACTTGTGCCTAATAGTTGTAAAAACCAATGTACTTGTTTGCTAGATGTCTATGGCATACGTGTGAATGCACACTTCTAGCTCATACTCCATCCTCAGAAAAGTCTATCACATTATGAATAGTACTAGACAAGCCCACTTTGGGAACTTCTTAATTAGAATATATTGTAGTCTGAACTAATTGCTTCATCCCATTTATTTGATCTGAAATATCATTCAGAAACTACTTTGGGGAAGAGAGAATTTATGATCCTAAACAGATTTCAGAATCCCAATTGGATAATTAACAAGAAAGACCATTATCACCAGATGTGCCCTGGCCGATCCTTGGAACAGATGTTGGAGATGATGGATCTGTGGAGTTGGAGGGGGGTGCCTCAATTCTCCAGGCCTGCACGGGAGCGATTCTGTTTATTGGGCAATAATGCTGGTGATGAAGTTTAATGACACAAACTGGAGTGAAAGCAAATGGCATTAAAATGATTGGAGGAAAAAAAAAGGCGAGAGCAGACAAAAACCATCACAATTTTATGTGGAATGAAAAAAACCATGAAATCTGCCATTTTACCAGCATAAAAGGCTCATGGGAGAGGTGTATGCAAGCACAGAGGATAGCTGTGGAATCTTTTGTTATTCTCTCTCTCTCTCTCTCTCTCTCTCTCTCTCTCTCTCTGTGTGTGTTTAAAATTCTATTTTGTTTTT